TGATAAATTGTTATCCTCTTGACAAAGTATTTCTTACCTGTCTCTGAAATAGAGTCTAATATTCTCAGAAACTTTTGGACAAGGTTTGACAAGTATTTTCTCTCTTTCTCGTGTCTAAAACAAAACAAATAAGTAAAATATGTTAAGAGTAATACGTGTATATGTAACTTCATAACAGGAGTTGCAAGAAGTGAATTTGAGGATGGTTTTCATTTCAACAATAGGGAGCTTAAGTAATGATGAAAGCGACTCAAAGGACGGTGTCCAGTAAAAAACGCATTTTTGTTTTACCTTTGAATTTCGCAATTATATGCATATGTCAATATGTACGTCTGTCAATCGAAACCTGACCAGACAATTACTGTTCCCTTTGACTTGTAGCTTTCAAAAGGAGATTCGAACGCTCGCATTTCAAGGCCGTGAAAAATTCGACAATTCATTTATTACAGCTTTCTTACAGGGTGCTTTCTAATGCATTTAGTGATAGATGCAAAATAATGTAAAATTAGGCTACAATGTAGGTACCTGTGACATTAGGCACTCACTTTGTTTTGGTTTGTTCATCGGCCTGTGCATCTCTTTTCTTTATGTGGTTCCAATATTTTCTGTACTTTTGCACGCTCTTTAACTCCTCTTCTAAACGTTCCTGCATCCACAAACAAAGCCAGGTTCATTCAATTCATTGTTTAACCATGCATGCAAAACAAAGTTGCGAAGTCTGCACTCTAGTAAGTAAACAATAGTTCCACCGAATCATATTTGCTAAGCAATCCTATGATACATCAAAATTTCACCAGAATGGCAATTTCAATTTCTTGATGTGAATCAAGTCACAAAATCCATGATCGTTTATCTGTTTTTTTTTGTTTTTTTTAAAAATTGGGGTGCCCATGCTCGTTGGTGAGCTAGAGCCATTTTTCAACTAACAGAGCTCAATATCAAGCAAAATCCGTCATGTTTTCAATATGCGCATGCACAAGCGTGCGCTAATCACGCCATAAATTATGCGCAGTAAGGATGCGCAATGCAAATGTGAGGAATGACCTTAAACTACCAGAAATGCATGCTGATTACTTTTTGCTTTCTAACCGGGATGAAAATTTTCCCATATGAGCATTCCCGCCCAGGTAGCTGGCATGAAACAGTTTTGTACCGAATAGCAAAACACTTGATGACTGGCCCCATAGGAAACAGTGAGTTTTGTTTCCCCTTGACCACAATGTTCAGGGTCTCGTGGAAACAAAACTCACGGTTTCCCCTGGGGCCAGTCATTAAGTGCTTAATGTCCCATTAACCAAGCCAGCCCTCTTACGTACTGGGCTCATGTGAATTAGAGGTGGGTATAATAAAAACAGAAATTAAAAGCGCTCGCGTGGGAGACATTTAATAAATGTGGGTGAATGATTTTTCATACCATAAGGCACTTAATTAATACATCCCTTTGAACAATTCAGACTACGTTTTTTGCATGTTCAATATGCTATTCTTTCATAATGGGGAGCAGAGATGACTCCCATCAATGCACAGCTTTGTTTGAGTCCCAAACCCCACATTGATCATGAGTGGGTTGAGTTTGTTTTGCTCCAAGGGTTTTTCGCTGGGTTTTGGCTGATTTTCCTCCCTAAAAAAAATCCAAAACTTCTAAAAATTACATGTAATTCTAATTTGATCTGGAAAAGGTGGACAAAGAGCTTCTCCATGGGTTGTGCTGGCCATTGCCAACTTCTATTAAATTAGATTTTCTTATAGGTTTCATGGAAATATATGTCATTGTATACAAAAATGCCATGGCATTATAGAGTGAAAGGTGCCAGGAGATTTTGAGAATATTTAGATGACTTTTTATGATTTGTATGAAAAAGAAAAGGAACGAGAAGTAAGACTAATGAATAATTATTTGAAGGAAATGGAGAAAAAGAATGATTTTATCATCATGATGATAAAATTTGGGGAGGAGGAGTTTACAGAGATGGGACCTTAGACAAGAAAGGGGTGAAGTCCCTCCATACACGTATGTAATTTTTGACTTAGTTTGCGTCAATGGTAAGTAAATTTAAAGCGGAGCTCCAGCTGCCCAAAGGGTTCTCAATCGGAGCACCATACTCATATAGGAAAGAAAACGAAACCCATGAATTGATCATGGTTATCATGGCTAGCGGTATTACTCATGGGTATGTACGCACGATGGCGACAGCGACCGCGACCACAACAGAGTTGTGCAACATGGAAGCCATACTCCCAATAATAGGTTGACAGAAACATGCAGCCTTGGTTTACAGTTTTTTATCTTTGATTTTGGACATCCACGTTTATTGGTTAATTGACACCTCTCGAAACAGGGTACGTGCTGACCAGTATCACGTGACCATCGTGGGCTGAATTTGAAGTTTAAAGCTCACTGAGAGATTTTTTCGTTTTTTGGAGTTGACTGCTGACCAAGTGTTGTTTTTTTATTTGATCGCGGTCTCAAGCCACGTTAACTTGTCGTAATCAGGGCTGGGTTGTTTGAAAGGTGGTTAGCACTAACCTAGGATTAAAAGTTAACTGATTATTCAAACTCAAAAAATAGAAGGCCAAGTTACAATATAAACAAAAAACCTCACTGCAAAGTTGCAAAACTCAAATCAAAATTATTGTCGGCTTATCCTGGGTAGCTTAATCGGGCTTTGAACAACCCGGCTCAGGAGCTCCATTTTTAGGCTTGGCTAAATCTATATATATATATTACATTTTTATTGATAAATATAATTATTTCAGAGGTCCTACTGAACATACCAGACTGTTAAAACAGTGAATTAAGAAGCTCAAGATTATGGACTGTTCCCTGATGGATAGGACCTATGGTTAAAAAATCAGCAAAACACTAAACAAATCAGGACAATCAAAATGTCATAAAATTGCATTAAGGGTCTATCTTCAAAATTAAAACATAAAAAGTAGTTGATAAGAGCCAAATCATAAAAGAAGATGAATACATAAGGATGATACTTACATCTTCACCTGCCAAGCTTATTTCTATAATGCGTTGAAAAAACCCATGGAACTGTTGTGGGTTTTCCTTGAATGACTGCAGAATGAACAAATGACAACTGGTGCTTTATCATTTTGGTTAAGGTACTACAGTGTTGTGCAATGTACATGTAGTACTTTACAAAACTACATCTGACAATCTCCACAGCAGCCGTAATTTAGTGCTTTCTGTACAGTAAATATGCTGTATGTTCTCAGGTAAGAAGATGGTCTTGAAAGAAAGCTAAGAAACCCACCATAGATATACACAACACTGGATATGACTAAATTACAATGTAAAATGTTTGTCTGATACACGTATCTTAACTTAGTATGAACATGTTACAAAAATAAAACATAAAATGCCACAAAACAATACAGTCACATAATATGTCCAATTAAAAATAATTCTTAATTAATAATAACTCGTTACAAACTTAAGAATCTACAAGTGTAATAAAAGTACTACAATCTCATTGCCTGAGCTAACATACTTTATCAGGCATTATTGTGAAGTGGTTGGAGATCATGAACAAAATGTCAAGATGCCAGGAGATGACAGTCTATTGATTCGGTCTTTGGCCTCAACAACTACATGTATCACCTTTTAGTATAAATCTACTAGACAAGTGTTCTATCACAAATGCTCTTCTCTTACTGGCTATACTACTCACTATCTATTCTGTTGTAGATAGTGAACTGGTAGCCTAGTAGCAGTGGGTGTTTGTTTAACAAAATGGTACCCATAATTTCTCTGCATTGTTGATTAGAAGTTTCTGTAAAGAGGATATGCTGTAAGTTCAAGTTTTGAGCAACAAGTGTCCAATTTTATTGTATACAGTGTACTAAGGCAATTACTAGATAATTTATTCTCAATTTCTATATGTGATAGCTGACTCAGGCCATTCCCCTTGTCAACTATCATGTTTAGAAATCTTGAGCTCATAATCTAAAATTTTGTTACATGTAAATAGAAATCTCTATCTCATAATCTAATTGTACTGTTACAGTATTAAATTTATTACCTCCCAGGGTGGAACGCCTTCTCTGAACTTCTCATTCACCATAACTACCACGGACATTACATGCTCCACAGAGGCCTGTGAGGAATTAAAGTATAAAATGATAAAGGCAGTCTTGTTAATCAAGTATGTTTAAAAATGATTTTATCACTGAGCAATTTACAAACCTTGCTTGAAATAAAGTTGGCCCACAGGTAATTCTCCAGGTATTGACTGTACAAAGATACAAAGACAGGACTGAAGTAAATCTGTACTGCTTAGAGTACAAATGAAGAGAACTCAAAAGTAAAAAAAAAAGAAAAGCAAATTAAGGCAAACTTACAAGTAAACAAAACAAAACAAAACAAAACAGACAACTTTATCATTTCTACTCCTTCAATTTATGTATAAGTATCTAGACTATGTATAATAATTATTATACAAATATTGTACACTGCTGATTTCAGGTAGATATCTATGAAATAAAGGTGTAGCACAGTCTCCCAAACATTGTATGAGAAAAACTACACGTGAACTAGGTAATGTATTATCAATAGTCTGTACATGTATGTACCATACATTAATTAGTAAATTAATTAAATG